GCCCGATGCGGGACTCGATCCCGGGACTCCAGGATCATGACCTGAGCCGAAGGCAGTCGCTTAACCAACTGAGCCACCCAGGCGCCCCCAAATAGTAGGTCCTTTTAACATGCAGGTGTTTTCACTGATCTGTAGTAATTTTAATTTTTTTCAGAAATGAACTTCCTGTTTTCTTGCCAGAGTTACTGTGTCCTTGAAAAATTATAAGGCTTGTCTATGTTGTTAACCGTTATACTGCTTTTATTCTTAAAATTTTTTTGTTTTTATAGAACATTTGTGTTCTCTGTGTGTATAACATGCATGTGCCTAGAGAAAAGAAGTTGTTTTTCTAAAAACCTGGGTTTTATATGTTGTCAACAAAGAAACCCAGCATCCCCCTACTGGTGGATATTGTGCAGGGTGTCTCCCTGTCCCCAGAACTACCGAAATCACACCACAGCCCAGCAGGTGCCACTGGGAATAGGCTCCTATAGAATGTTTTTCATGCCCCTCCTTGGTTTTGGCTCACCCACATCGGACTCTGTGCTCAGCACAGAGTCTGCTTAAGACTCTTTCTGCCCCTCCGCTTTGCTCCATGCTCTCTGTTAAGGCACTTGGCTATTGACCACCTGCAGTTTGAGCTGTCCTGCTGGTTCTGTGTCTTCATCCACATGATGTCTGCACTGAATGAGCAAGTGAACAGTCATAAAAACAAATTTGTTCAGGGTTGGAGAAAAGTCCAGAAAGAGATGGGATCGGCCTGAATGAATGGCCAGATCTTCCCAAGGTTGACTGAGTTGCTACTACATAGCAGACCACCAACATCTGCCCTGAGCTGTGTAGATTGAGCCCCTATGCGAATCTTGAATAGTTCTTACATATAAGAGATGGCTTATGGTTTCATCTGCTAGCCAGCCAGAGTAGGAAAATAGGTTTTGTGTTCTCTTTAATCGCATTATTGTGTTAAACAGACATACTTTCCCTCTGATGGCAGCATTTTACTGATTAAATGTTTTATACCCTCTTCTCTTTGGCACAGGTCCAGATGTGAAGAAGCTCTGTGTCCTTAGCCAAATTTTAAAGGACACATCCATAGCCATTAATCATGGAATTATTAGCGGCTACAGCCTTGAGAATTTTCAGCATGAATGTAGATCTATTTTGGAAAAACTGGAGACAGAGGGACAGTTTGCTTTGGCCAGAAGGGTAGCAGAATTAGCAGAACTACCTGTGGACAACTTGGTTATTGAGGAGGTATCATTAGTCTTTTAAGTTATTTGACATCTTAGCTTTTTGAGCTAGCATTAACCAGAATCAAATGAGAAATGTAATTTATAGGAGAAGAGGCTTTTTTACTTTTGATACACACATTACTTTCAGAAATGGATGAGCCCTAGGATGCCCATTAGCATAGAATGTGTGCTTGAAACCAAGGTTAGCTTACAGGATATGCCACAGCTCTTGTGCTTTGAATAGAATTAAATATAGGATGGCTTTGTCTTGAACCCCCTTCAATTAGATAAATTTAGAATTGCTGTTCATAGTTTAACTTTCCAGATAAAATATCCAGGATCATCTGTAGCCAAGTCTCATGTTCTCTGACTTGATTTGGCTTTAACAAGCCTGGCACACGTAGGGAGCATTAGCATTTATGATACTTCTTTATCCAGGAAAGGCTAAAAAGTGTTTTGTTAAATTTCGCAGATAACACGGGAAATGCAGACTTTAAAACACACTGGCCAGTGGTCCCTGAAACAAGCAAGAATTGACTTCTGGAAAAAATGTCACGAGAGTTTTCAGAAAAATTCCATTTCAAGCAGAGCAGCTTCTTCCTTTTTCTCAGCTCAGGCCCCGGAGGCGCCTGAGCCCGCAGCTGAGGAGGGCTGGAGTCGCGCGGGGGAGCGGCAGCTGCTGCTCACGCTGGCTGCGCACTGGCTGGCTCAGGAGGGCCTGGGGCCTGTGGACGAGCTGGAGGAGCTGGAGAAGCAGATCTGGCTCTGCCGCATCACCCAGCACACCCTCAGAGAAAAACAGGAAACAGAGCCCAGGTTTTCGCAGCACATCTCAACTAGTGGGGAACTTTCCTTTGATAGCGTAGCCAGTAAGTTTTCACTCTCCATGTTGGCTGCTCTGAACACATCAAAATACTTGGAAATTAATGGCCTTCCATCCAAAGAGACTTGTGAGAACAGGCTGGATTGGAAGGGGCATGAGTCACTGGACTTTCTGATTGGGCGCCTGTTGGATGATGGCTGTGTGCACGAAGCAAGTAGAGTATGTCGGTATTTTCATTTCTACAACCAAGATGTCGCCTTGGTGTTGCACTGCAGAGCACTGGCCTCAGGGGAAGCTAGTGTGGATGACCTGCGCCCAGAGATCCATGCTCTCCTACAAAGTGCCGAGCGGCTTGAGGAAGAAGAACCTGGCATTCCACTAAGGAAAGTCCAGAGCAGTAAGTGAAGGAGATCAAACCGCCCTGAGTCCTGAATGGAGCTCTTGGTACTCTTTCCCAGAAAGAAAGGGTCCCTTTTGGCCCACTAGTTATACAAGTCAAGGGTAGTCCATAAACTAGGTAATTAACTAGTCAATGAAATAGAAACTTAAGTCTTAACTAGCTGTATATCAAAGTCAGAGGGAATCTATTTGACTTGTAGCTAGTTCATTAAAATTTACTCTATACCAGTAATCGTGTTTCCAATTGTACATTGATAGTATATAGAAATATGCTGATTTTTGTGTTAATCTTGTATCCTGCGACCTTGCTAAACTTGCTTATCCTAGGGGTTTTCTTATAGATTCCTCGGTATTTTCTACAGACGATACTATCTGTGAATAGAGGTGGTTTTATATCTTCCTTTCCAATCTGAATGCCTGTTATTTCTTTGTCTTGTTTTATTGCACTGGCTAGGACTTCTGGTATGACATTGGATAGAAATGGTTAAGAATAGACATACTTGCCTTGTTACTGATTTTAGGGAGAAAGCATTGTCTTTTTTTTTTTTTTTCCTGATTCAAGTATAATTAACATACAGTATAGTTTTAGGTGTACAGTGTGATTCAACATTTTTAAACATTACTCATTGCTCATCAGGGTAGGTGGACTCTTATGGCCTTCACCAGTTTCATCCGTCCCCCCCACCCACCTCCCCTCTGGTAACTACCAGTTTGTTCTGTATAGTTAAGAGTCTGTTTTTTGTTTGTCTCTTTTTTTCTTTGTTCATTTGTTTCTTAAATTCCACATATGAGTGAAATTACATAGTATTTCTTTCTCTGACTGACTTCTTAGCATTATACCCTCTAAGTCCATCCATATTGTTGCAAGTGGCAAGATTTCATTCTTTCTTATGGCTGAGTAATATTTCACTGTCTATATATACCACATCTTGGTTCATCTACAAATGGACACTTGGGTTGGTTCCATATCCTGATTATTGTAAATACTGCCGTAAACATAGGGGTGCATATATCTTTTCGAATTAGTGTTTTTGGTTCTTTGGGTAAATACCCAGTAGTGGAATTATTGGATCATAGGTTAGATCTATTTTTAATTTTTTGAGGAACCTCCATACTGTCTTCCACAGTGGCTGCACCAGCTTGCACACCACCAGGAGTGTACAAGGGTTCCTTTTCCTCACCAACACTTGTTATTTCTTGTGTTTTTTATTTTATTTTATTTTATTTTATTTTTTTAAAGATTTTATTTATTTATTTGAGAGAGAGAGAATGAGAGAGAGAGAACACATGAGAGGGGATAGGGTCAGAGGACAAAGCAGACTCCCTGCCGAGCAGGGAGCCCGATGCGGGACTCGATCCAGGGACTCCAGGATCATGACCTGAGCCGAAGGCAGTCGCTTAACTAACTGAGCCACCCAGGTGCCCCTTGTGTTTTTTATTTTAGCCATTCTGACAGTTGTAAAGTGATTATCTCATTGTGGTTTTGGCTTGCATTTCCCTGATGATGAGTATCTTTTCATGTGTCTGTTGATGATGATGATGATGATGATGATGTTGATGAGCATCTTTTCATGTGTCTTTGGCCATCTGTATGTCTTTGGAAAAATGTCTGTTCATGTCTTGTATTTTTTTTAGTTGGATTATTTGTGGTTTTTTGGTGTTGAGTTATAGAAGTTCTTTATATATTTTGGAGATTAACCCCTTATCAGATACATATTTGAAATATCTTGTCCCATTCAGCAGGCTGTCTTTTGTTGATGGTTTCATTTACTATGTAAAAGCTTTTTATTTTGGTGTAGTCTCAATAGTTTAATTTTGCTTTTTCTCCCTTGCCTGAGGAGACATGATGTAGAAAAATATTTCTACAGCTGATGTCAGAGAGATTACTGCCTATGTTTTCTTCTAGGAATTTTATGGTTTCAGGTGTCACATTTAGATCTTTAATCCATTGTGAATTTATTTTTGTGTGTTGTGTAAGAAAGGGTCCAGTTTCATTCTTATGCACGTAGCTCTCCAGTTTTCCCAGCATCATTTGTTGAAGAGACTATCTTTGAAAGCATTCAGTCTTTCATAGTTAAGTATGATATTAGCTGTAGGTTTTTTGAAGATAGGCTTTGTCATGTTGAGGAAGTTCCCTTCTATTCATAGTTTGTGAGAGTTTTTTTTATCATGAATCAGTTGTTGCATTTTGTCATTTTTTTTCCACATCTATTGATATGATCATGTGGGTTTTTTCTTTAGACTATTAATTGATTACATTAGGTAGATTACATTAATTGAGTTTTAAAATATTAAACCAGCTTTGTCTTCTCAAGATAAATCCCATTTGGTCATAGTGCATTATTCTTTAGATACATTACTATAATCAGTTTTCTACTTGGAAAATTTTTACATTCATGTTCATGAGGAATATTGACCTGTACTTTTTTTTGTACTGTCTTTGTCTGGTTTATGCATCTGGGTAATGCTGGTTTCATGAGCTGGAAAGCACTCCTTCCTCTACTGTTTTGGTTTTGTTTTGTTTCCTTTGGAAGACATTGTAATGGAATTGGTGTTATTTCCTCTTTAGCTGTTCAGTAGAATTTACTAGTAAAACTATCTGAACCTGGAGATTTATGTTTTGGAAGACTTTAAACTACAAATTTAATTTCTTTCTTAGTTATACAACTAATCAGGTTATCTTTTTCATCTTTGAAGAGTTTGGTAGTTTGTAGCTTTTGAGGAAACATTTTTTCCTGCCTTTTGGGTTATTTGAACATTTTTTAGTCTTCCATTTTAATTTATTCTGATTTTGACTATATATCTTTGCATAGTTTTTTCATTGGTTGCTTTATGGATTACATTAAACTATCGTAACTTTTTACAGCCCACTTTAAAAGCTGTATTTTACTACCTCCGCTGGAATGTAGAAACCTTACCACCTATAGGGTCCTTCTTTTCCTTTATGTCCTACTTTTTTTTTTTTTTTTT